CAGCCCTGGGCCTTTTCGGTTTGTCGTTCGTGTCAACCAAAAGCTGATTGCACAGGATGTAATAATGGAAAACATATTTCTACCGACAGGCAGTCTCCAACGAGATTTATTGTACGAGAAAAGCGGCGGTGGCAGCGAACAAAAGGTGTAATGTTTTATTGGGTGGGGTGTGGGGGTGGGGGTGGACTGTCGGTATGGGTGTGGCTGTGAGTGTGAGTGTGGGTGTGGGTGTGGGTGTGGGTGTGGGTGTGGGTGCAGGTGTGGGTGCAGGTGCGGGTGTAAATGTGGGTGTGGGGTGTAGGTGTGCGTATGGGTGTGGATGTGGGTGGGTATGGGTGTGGGTGTGGGTATGAGTATGGGTTTGAGTGTGGGTGTGGGTGTGAATCTGATTAGTCTTGTCATACACACACCCACACCCACAGCCGCACCCACACCTCACACCCGCACCACCCACACTCCACGCGCGCACCCACAGCCACAGCCATAATCACACCCACCCACACCCACCCACACCCACACCCACACCCACACCCACACCCACACCCACACCCACACCCACACCCACACCCACACCCACACCCACACCCTTTTCTCAATCTCCAAGCCGAACTCTTTGCAATGTTTTGATTTGTAAATTTAGTATTTGATTGAAAAAAAAAGATTGTTAGCGCAGTCCCTTTGGGATTTAAATGTGGAACTCACATATGCTCTGTAACCTCCTTGAACTAATACAAAATACGTAAAGTGAAAAATCTCTTGTGCACTATGGTGTTTCATAGGACAAACGATCTCCAGAAGAAGAATCTCTATAAATTCTATATTTCGAATACAGAGTTTTTCCCTCGACTGTAGGGAGGGTCATATGAAAAAAAATAAGTTTGTATCTGGCTGGCTGGCTGGCTGTCAGGGTCAAAAGAACATCAAGGTCAAAAAAACATCGTCTAAAATATTCATGGGCATTCGTTTTCCATATGTTCCTCCTGTAAGGTTTCACGAAAGGTTCTTGGGGTCGAGAAATCGAACGGTGCTATTAGTTTTTCAATTTTTTCAAATTATTTTTTTTGCTAAAAGAGGCTGTTTTTAAAAAAATAATGATTTTTTATAAAGTTTGATCAAAGGTTCTTGGGGTCGAGGAATCGAATGGTGCTATTAGTTTTTCAATTTTTTCAAATTGTTTTTTTTTGCTAAAAAAGGCCGTTTTTAAGAAAATAGTAATTTTTTATAAAGTTTGACCAAAGGTTTTCGGTGTCGGGGAATCAAATCGTACTACCAGTTTTTCAAATTTTTTCAAATATTTTTTTTGCTAAAAAAGGCTTTTTTTAAGGAAATAATGATTTTTTATAAAGTTTGACCAAAGGTTTTCGGGGTCGAGGAATCGAATGGTGCTATTGGTTTTTCAATTTTTCCAAATTGTTTTCTTTGCTAAAAAAAGGCTTTTTTAAGAAAATCATGATTTTCTATAAAGTTTGACCAAAGATTTTCGGGGTCGAGGAATCGAATGGTATTATTAGTTTTTAGATTTTTCCAAATAATTTTTTTGCTAAAAAAAGGGCTTTTTTAAAGAAAATCATGATTTTCTATAAAGTTTGACCAAAGGTTTTCAGGGTCGAGGAATCGAATGGTACTGTTAGTTTTTGAATTTTTTCGAATAATTGTTTTTGCTAAAAAAACGCTTTTTTAAAGAAAATAATGATTTTCTATAAAGTTTGATCAAAGGTTTTCGGGGTCGAGGAATCGAATGGTATTATTAGTTTTTAGATTTTTCCAAATAATTTTTTTGCTGAAAAAAGGCTTCTCTTAAGAAAATAATGTTTTTTTATAAAGTTTGACCAAAGGTTTTCAGAGTCGAGGAATCGGATGGTACGAAGAGTTTTTGAAAACTTTCATGTAATTCCTTTGATTTAAGTGTGAGTTTTGGGGAATAAAATATGCGCACTTGTTTTGAGACTTTTGGCCGTTTTGATCGAACTCTGCTATAGGTTATCGAGAGCGCTGAATTTGAATCCAAAGGCCATTTTTTTGGCCGAGATTTCATTGGTCAAAAACTAACCAATCAGAAAAGAACTTTCTTATTTTAAGACTTTTCGCCGTTTTGATCGAACTTTGCTACAAGTTATCGAGGACCCTGAATCCGAATCCGAAGCCCATTTTTTTTGGCCGAGATTTCATTGGTCAGAAATCGGTCAATCAGAAATGAGCTTTTTCATTTTAAAACTTTTGGTCGTTTTGAGTGAACTTTGCTATAGGTTATCGATGGCCAGGATTCCGAATCCGAAGTCAGTTTTTTTGGTCGGGCTTTCATTGTGTGAAATCCGGCCAATCAGAAACCAGCTTTTTTATTTTAAGCCTTTTCGACGATTTGATGAAACTTTGCTATAGGTTATCGATGGCCCTGAATCCGAATCCGAAGCCATTTCTTTAGCCGAAGTTTCATTGGTCGGAAACCGGTCAATCAAAAAAGGAACTTTTTTATTTTACGGCTTTTGGCCGTTTTGATCGAACTTTGTTAGAGGTTATCGAGGGTGAGAAATCCGAATCTGGAATCAGGATTCCAAAATTCAGATCTCGAATCTATTCGTTCTATGAGAAGTGATGTTGAGAAACAGAAAGTACTTTGTAATACGTGACAGTAGTGTAATGAATCAAGAAATACGAAGATAAGATGAAATTAGAGTGCTTGTAGAACAAAGATTGAGGAATGAGAGCGAGTTACGCAAAAAAAATGATTTAGATTGACAGGATACAACGGCTGTGTCCACTTATTCAGAATATTTCAGATTATCGGTAAATCTATACTAACGTGTCCTCTTCCTGAATACTGATAAGCTTCCAAAGAAAATTTCTAATGTGGATGAATTTTTTTGTAAAGGATCAAACTTTCCATCAGTTTTTAAAATAGGAACGATGGCTCGATTTTGAAAATGGTATCAACCTTTCGTGAGTGAAAGTAGCTGGAAGTAGCGGATAGCCGTGAATGGCGTTCCTTCGGAAGGACGGCGAACGAATAGCTGCCTCTAAACTAGGTTTATTCAAATCTGTTTTACGACATTTCTGCATAACATCAAGCAAGGTCCTTAAAAAAGTGCCACAGAGACTTAACATGTGACATTTTATGTAGAGAAGGACTCCTATAAACATGGAGAAACTCGAGAGACGACACGTATATATTTAATAGATATCTTGCTGGATATAGGAAATCTAGTACCCTTTAGTTACGAGTAGAGAAGCTTTTGAAGCAGTCGAAATGTGGATTAGTCATGCCTTGAATAAGAAAGTAGTCATTTGAGAATATGTGTTCAAAGATAGTAGTAGCTAAGTGTGAATAGCGCCACGTCGAAACTCCGACAGTGAAATATAGTAGCTTCTATTTCTATTTCACAATTTTTTTGGTATGAGATATGGTCTATTAAGCTAGTTTTTTGTGTGAAATCATATACTTAAGCTTCTTTTGATGGCGAGCTCCATGAAATCTTAGATTGACTAGCTAGGTAAAGGATTGAAACGCGTAAGGAATAGTTCACAAGTATTTTCACTTTGGGATTTCTCATGCGATAAATATAGGCAGCTTCGAAACTAATCCAAATCTAGAATCCAGTAAAATTTAAATAACAGTGCATGATTATATAATTACTGGAAGAGAACGATGCATAACAGCAATTAGTTGCGCGTGACGACCCACTCGGATGCCGACGAGTGACTAGCTGATGCCCTAAAAAATCCTTTGAATAGAATTCTTTTAAACTTCTAATCCATTGGAAGGATCTCTAGCACTTAGATCTTACTAGGATTCATGGGAGGAAGAACGGGCAAGAGGGTTAACAAGTGTATTTGAATGAAGTGTGAGAACGAGTGTGTTGGAGATCTTCAATATCGGAATCGAACATTTCCTGAAAAGCGTCAATAATACAATTTGCATCGAATCATCAAAAGTGGACTTGAATGGAATTTAATAATCCTTTATCTTCATAGATACGTCATCTGCCCATTGACTTGTCAAATTTTTTTTCCGGCTATTTAAAATTCGTTATTTAATCTCACAAAGACTCCGAGTTGAAGCCTGATTCAACTTGCGTATGCCGGATATTAGTTTGAACAAATATAGCTTTTTAGTCTGATAGCTACGCTAAACATGCATTTTCGTAGTGGGTACCGGTCAGCGATATTGTCCGCCTATGTGTTTATGAGTATGCGCATTATTAATACAGTTTGCGTGAAGTGTAGTGCATCTTTACTGCAGTCACGCTGATATTTTTTGTCTGCTGATTTTCTCTGAAAATCGAATATACTATTTTTTCGTGGTTTGAGGATATTGCTGTGTCAGTGTGGGTCACGTAGATTTCTTTTGAGTGTTATTGATAGAGTAACAGATTAAATGAACGAATGTTATAGCTAGCAGTATTACAACGGTACCAATAGCATTATACACGCCGACACATGTGTACACTAATGTTGACACTAGCACAAAGCCCTGTGCAAATGCCCGATGCTACCTTTTGCAAAATGTCTGCAGTAATAAACAACTGCCGATGCAGTGAAATATTCAGTCGAGGGTTAAGCGAGTCACACAGACGAGCGTTACTTGTTCATTATGTATCAAAATTATAATGTAATCAATTTTTGCAATAAAAAAAATTAAGAAGTCTGACGCCTATTTTCTTCGGTGACTAGAGTCTATGATGGAAAGGGGGATGTCTGCAATGGAAGGGATGGGGGGAGGGGGGAGGAAGGAGTGTCTATAATGGGTAGGGAGGATTGGAGGTAGCCGGAAAACTTCAACTTAAAACTTACACTCACTATTTTCTTCGAAAATGTACTTGAGTTCCACAGAAGAATAATATTTTCTTCGACAGTGTCGTCCGAGAGACTAGTCCTATAAAAAAAATGAATAGTCCACTTCCCAAGTTCTGCCAGAATCTTCTTCTATCTATTGTCTTTTACCACTAACATTCCCGAACTGCACAGTAAGTTTCAAAAAATACATACGTTTTTAGGTATTTTTCATGTTTCAAAAACAATATTTAATCGACAAAATAATTAGTACGTTCGAACTCAGTGGATGAAATGGCACCTAATCCTATATAGCGCAAAAGAATTTTTAAGGAAAAATTTTCTCCAAGAAGTTTTCTAGAACTCACATATATTTTCGAAGAAAATATTGATTGTAAGGTTTATCTCCAAGTTTCGTAGCTTTTCTCTCCCCGTCCCTATTACAGACTATTGGCATGAGAGATTCCATTACAAACTTCAGCAATCAAGGACAACAGGTATCAGACTTTCTAGAGTTATTTTGCACCATTGATGAAGTTATCACCTTGAAATATAATGAGTATCATTGTTTGCGAGCTGATTAAGACATAATAGTACGCTAATATCTGTTATAGATATCATGAAATATGTACTACAGATTTATGTAACCATTGAATTCAAGGATTATAAAAATAGCAATGTTAAATTAAGAAAAATGAAACAATATCAGTGAATAGCAACAATGCCAGCGGAAAACAAGGCGCTCATATAGAAAAAGAATTCTGTCCAAGATGCAGAAATTAGAAAGGCCATTATTCCAGGCATCGATTATCATGCAAAATAGCTACAGTCTACGAGAAAATTTTTCCTTTGCGTATTTTTCTATTACTTTTATGAGGTTCGAGAGCATATGTCTGTTCCATCATTCAGTCACGAAGAGGCTGCGCTATCAAGCTTGTTTTTCAAAAAAATATCTTTCAGCCACAAATCCAATAATTTCTCATTCGGACAGTTACATCTTTGCCTGACGTGCACGAAAATACACATTGTTCGAACTTTAAAAAAAAATGATTTTTGACTTCCCATCCTTAATAGATCGTTCCTTATGTTAATCATTTTCCAGTGTTTGCAAAGAAAACCGATAGAAGAAACAACTGGATGAATTTCACGAACACGGTTATGCATACTATTCTAATTCTAATAAATCTTCGAATGATGAAGCTGTGGGTACAGCTATATGAGATCATAAAAAGGCAGCTGACCCTTATGTTCTTTCATCGCTACACCAGAAAACATAGCCCCATTCACAGCATTTAAATATTTAATTTCATGTTGAATTTTTCATTTTAAATAGTCACTCGAGATTCTTATCGATATGAACATCAAAAAGGATTCAAAAGTCCTACAATTCAAGGTTAGAATATGAATATCTCCTTTCGATAACTGATTTCGATCACAAATACTAGAAACAACTACTACACATACGGCCACGGACCTGCAGGCGCAGAAATCTAATCAACGTAATTATTAGCTTTTCTCTCAGCTCCTGCTTTCTTCTTCAACTATAATGCTAACCAAATACTTCTCACTATACTCTCAACCATAGACGAAAAATTTAGCAATGATCAACGAATAGTATATAGCAAAAACAAGAACCGGCATCATATCATCGACGAATTATTCTAGAGCACGGCGAGATATTTTTTTATTTTCACTCTTAATTTCATATTTCCTTCCATAACCTTTTTTTTCTATGAATCGAATACTTTTGTTTGTTTTTCGTCACATTTATAGTAATTGTCAATGGACAGCAAACAACTTGTGGCAACAAAGAAGAATTCACAGAACATCATCAAACATATTTTGGACCACGCAGTAAGATGTTTTGTTTTCCTTCTCAGCTGCATCCTCCAAGAGGCTGCCTAATTCAAGTTTGAGTGTGATTGAAATTTTCGAAGAAAATACTCGGCTCCATTATAGCAGACAAGCAGAAAAATACTTTTCTAAGTTATAAATTATAATTTGAAATCGACATTGACAACCCTGCGCAGAACCGTAGAAATCAAATGTTTTTTGCTTCAGATTTTGTACAGTAAATCATAGAAGTTTAGTAATTGATGTATGAGTTCGGTTTGTATATTCGATAACTCAATGTGACCGTCAGTAATATTTATTCGGAACAAGCGCCTCTCTCCACCTCAAACTGACCTTTCGTGTAGAAGAAAAAAAAAGTTTTTTTTCAAATGTTATAAAATAATTACTTTAGGCACGGCATCAAGATCATACAATACATATTCGGACTCTGCAAACAATTATAACACTTCTCCAACACGATTACAACAACGTGAAGTTACCTCAGATACTTCCTAAAGATTCGGGTCTTTGAGTTTGGCATCCAAATACACAACAACACCATATATTACAAACTTTATAGGATGTCGAACTAATCTTGAACCTTGATGAACCTAAATTGTCACAATTTTATAATGAACGATTTTCCTTTTACTTTCCAATTTTTCCATCACCTCTTTCTTTCTTTTGTGTAGATATCCATTCTTTCTAGGGTGTGGATGTGGGTGTGGGATGTAGTTTTGGATATGGTGCGTTGGTGTGAGTGTAGGAGTATGAGTAACGCGAATTTCACACTCATACCCATACCCTTGTGAAATTCACGCAAGAAGCACAAAACTTAATGGAAGTTTCAGAAAATGTTAAATATCCTAGCTTACATATTCTTTAGAAATTCTCCAGCTGTTGGATTTGATTTGGTCGATAAAAATGTACCAGATGGAAAAAATGATTCCATCAAATTTGAGCAGATGAAGTAAATGATTTTAATCGAGTGACACTAATGTGACTCAATGTACTCTTTACCATACTCTGATGACTTCCCTTCTGATTCATGTTTTCATGAACACCTTCTTCCAATCTGTTCTAAAGCGTCTTTCTTCCAATCAATCTTGATATTTTTCGACAAGAAGTATACTGCTATTCATGAAAATATGATAGTAGGTATGGGTGGATAAAAGCTGTAAACGTATTCATATTTTAGTGTCTATCAAAGTGCTTCATTAAAGCGGCATTACTTATTTGTTCATCCAGCTACAAATAATAGTGCATGACAAAATACGAAATGAACGAAATTGATGTACTTTTAGAGTAGCAATGCAAAGTTGTCATACGTTCGACAAGAATTGCTCTAACAAACATAGAAGAAACAGAATATATTGTGTTTCAAGTCATGAGTGTTGACCGTGCCTAATAATTTTATCCTCGGAAACGTTTTTTAATACGGTGTGCGTATTTTATTCAACAAAAAATACTGAGTAAATACAAAAATAAGTTTTTTCAAATCTGGAAAAGACGAATAAAAAAACTGAAAACATCGCTCACTTCGCAGTTTTACGATTGATTTCTGATCGACTTTGAAATAACTATACAATATGACGAATTGAAGTAGTAAAGATCTTCAGCTATCTCTATCTCATACACATCACAAGCTCATATATAAGAAAAATAAGAAAAGAAAAAAGAAGTGAGGGCACCAATGCGCAAGTAATATCTATATCAACATATTCGACATAGCGAGAAAAATTCTGAGTCATATTCATTGTTAATAATTAAGAGCAAAATTGAACTTCAAAGATTAGTACAAATACTATTTGACATGTTTGTCGGACAATGTACACAAACATAGAATATCGGTATCGTTAAATTTCATCATGAGATCATGTAAAATCTATATATGAGAGAATCGTATTTTTGTTGTACAATCATATTTTAGACGTATTTCTTCTGGAAATCCGTTTCCTAAAGCTCGATCTTAAAGTCTCTTTTTTTGTTTGCTTCCTTAGTATGCCTCCCACTACCACAGAAAATTTCAGCCCGATAGCTTATTGGCTCGCTGAGATAGAGAGGTTGAAGGCAAGAAAATCTATGATTTTTAATGAGTCATCGTACAAAAAATGAAGTTTCTGAGGGACAAAAAAAGAAAAAAGAAAAAGTAAATAGCATATTCTGTTCAGCGTCTGACCGCCTACTCAAATATATCCCTCGCGAATACAATGCTTATTTCTCTTTTGTTCGTCTATGACAAAAACCCTTTTACAGACACTTTTCCTTTTTTGTGTAGAGAAACACAAAACTCTTTCCAGCAAACAAACGGATAAAGCTAAATGCCTAGTGCGTTCTGCGAAAGAAAGAGCTTGGATCAAGTAACCAAATGATTGAAAAAAGTATGAGTCTCCTTATTGTTATTTTATAGAAAACCAAGGAAACTTTTTCAAAAATTGGTTTTTGACTCACTTTGTAGAGAAACATTTTGAAACTTACTTTAGCTTTATCTCCTGATAGACTGAATCGATTTTGTTGAAATTTACACAATATAAAGAGCATAAAAAGTTATACAATTGATAAAAATTTCTGGGGGATTCAATATTGTCTTCCTAGAAAATTTTACGTTATACGACAAAATGTAGAGAAACATTTTTTTTAAAAATATGTAGAGAAACACTTTTTGTGGGTCTTTTCACCTCGCTCGACGTAAAAACATACTTGCGTTTCTTAGGATCTTGCATCAGTTTTTTTAGGCCACTCTGACTGTTCATAGTTTCACTCGATTAAGCACATTGAAATCTATCGAACGATATATCATGTGTCTGCTGTTGAGCTAATATTTTACATTTTTTTTATGAGGCTGGAGGAACGAATATTAATACAGAGATATCTCAGTTTCCTGACATGTGGTAGTTGGGAAATTTTTACCGTATACTCAGTAAACGACGGCGAATAAGATGAGCAATGTAAATCTTTGCTAAATACACTTTCATTTTTTTTTGCTAATTGTACAACAAAAATACGATTCACTCATATATATATATAAAACAAGTTAGAGTGAAAAAAAGGAATTTGATCGATGTGTTGAGATTCTTCATTATTTTAAGTCATTATTGCTCAAAACATAAAATTAGTTTATCACTGAAAGAACAAAGTCAGAAATCGAGATATACTTCTAAAGAAAATCTAAGGTCAATGTTTTTTCGACATGTACTCTCTAAAAAAAAAAAGGAGTTTTGCAGAACCCTCCGAAAAGGTTCTGTAGATTTCTAAAAGGCTCCAAATCTGTCCAAAGTCTCAAAAAAAGCATAAAAAATTCGACAGAACCTTTTGAAGGTTCTGTGGAGTATCCACTAGCAGAACCATCTCTTGCAGAACCTTTTTTTAGGTTCTGTAGAGCAAAAAAAGGTTCTGTGAAAAAATACGAAACCTTGAGGGTTCTGTACAAAACCATTTACGTTTCGTGAGAAACCCTAATGGTTCCGTACTGAGGCCTAATGGTTTTGTACAGAACCCTCAAGATTTCGTATTTTCTCACGGAACTTTTTTTTGCTCTACAGAACCTTAAAAAAGGTTCTGCAAGAGATGGTTCTGCTAGTGGATACTCCACAGAACCTTCAAAAGGTTCTGTCGAATTTTTTATGCTTTTTTTGAGAGTTTGGACACATTTGGAGCCTTTTAGAAATCTAGAGAACCTTTTCGGAGGGTTCTGCAAAACTCCTTTTTTTTTTAGAGAGTAGTATTCCATCCTGGCTCAAATTTTCGGTTCGGTGTATGATAGAGTTCATAAAATCTCTTTATAGACGATGTTTCAAATTGAAATGACAATGTTGGTATTTTCATGACGTGCATATTCTTCATTAGGCCATAAACTTGATAAAATGCCCACAACTCAAGATGAAAGCAATGTGGGCATGAATCATTATCCCCAGATTAAGAAGTACAAGCTGATTCCAGAAGGTAAACACGGGAACATGCAAGCCATATTTCCACCGGAAAATTTTCCGGTGGATTTCGGTTATTTCCGAAGACCAGAATCATCGACATGAGTGGGTTTTGCCTAGCCTTAGTAGACTCTATCTGATGATACAAATCTTATTTCAAAAGCTTTTGATCATCTAAAGAGATTCCTCGTAAGTCTTTGTACTTGACTTGTGACTTCGCGAACTCAGTAGAGTTGAGAGTACAATACTTACATTGTAAGTATTGTTTAAGCTTTCGCGTTTGACTGGATGGCGATTTATCAAGATAAATGGAACCGTTAACTGAAACGATAAAACTGCAGTAAGCTGCTGGTATCTTGGAGATTTTTTATCATATAAAAAACTAACGGCGTTTTCTTCTCCAATAAAGTTTAAAAGTTTAAGGAAGTATTTTAAAAAAATTTAGAATAAAGTACACATCTTTTCTATAGTTATATTTTCGGGATGTAACATACTCATTTATGCAGTCTATTACATTGAATACAAGGTAGTTTTCTCCAAATTTTTAGTTATTTTGATGGATTAGAACTTCAAACGAAAGAACTCAATGCTCAATCAAAGGTCAAGAACTTGCTCCAATTTATAAACTTGAAAAAGAATTTTTCATTGATATACAAAACGTTTGCAGAATTATGTCTCTACTAATATCATTTTATTGGAATTTCGTTTACGGATTTTTGCCTGCCACTATTTTTCTTTTGCAAAAATGATTAAAAATAAATTCTTCTGTATTGTTAATGATGCAAAAAGTAAGAATAATCTTATTTTAGTCTTTTCTCTTTATTATTGAAGATGGATTTCGTGTTAAGCAAGTGTGTATTCAGGAAGTACTATTTTAGTCGCTTGTTGTATCGCCACGTGTAATACTTATCTTGCATTGTAACAATAAAATTCCAATGTTGACATTTATAATCATGTCTTTACTCCTCTATTTCGTCTATTTGTCATCTTATGTTGCAAAATTTTCGCTTATCTTTTTTTCTCTTTGCTTTTATCTCCAAAGCTGAAACGAAATGGATAGAAAGGAAACGTAAAGAAGGTCTTGCATATATTCAAGAAGAATAAATATTCTCATGAACTATCAATTATATATACTCAAAATTTTCGAATCAAGGTCAGATAGAAACATATGATATATTTATGAGTACTTTTACAAATCTACTTTGTCATTAGACTTTTCGCAGTACACTTCTTTCAATTATATATATAAGAAAAAAATTGCATAACTACGATGAAAGTTGATGACACATTGTCAATAAACACATTGATATAAAGAATGGCAAATTTAAAAAGAAATTCACTTTAATGACATATACTATTCGAAAACAAGCAACATATATGGCTGGCAAAGTTCATTTGTCTTTTTTGGCATTACCTGTCGAGATTGTCTATCGTATTCTGGACAATCTCGAACCAAAAACAATTTTACTTTCACTTCGGAATGTGTGTGAACGGTTAAATAAGATTACTGATACATATCCTCGATATCAGGTAAATTTCACTTTTACCCTAGAGTCAGATTTTTATCGTGCTAAAATATCACTCAGTTCAATCAATGATTTTTTTCAATTATTTTAGCTATTGATATTGGAATAATAAAAACTGCAGGCTAATATTTTGACGCTGACGAATATTACTCAAAAGAAAAGAATCATTACATTATTCAAGCTATTTCCAAAGATTTCATTGAGTTTCTGATACTTCTATTTGATATTTTACTAAACAGAAAACAAAGTTAATAGAATTTTGCATCGCAGTTTTGTTTTTCTCCACTAGTTATAGAAAGGATTTCATCAGATGAATTGAATTGAAAGTCATAGAAGAGGCCTCGTTGATTTTCATGAATTATATCCTTCTGAAATTTCTGTGACTTAAGAATTCATTGAAGAAACGAAGTCATCAAAGCTAGCGAAACATAGTTTTAAGAAGTACCAGAGCCTAGGAAATTGTAACAGCTGTCCGAAGTTTTTTGCTGACTAATAGTCCTTTTTCGTTTCAAACTCATTACCAATACATCGATTCATAGTCGCTCTTTCAGTTTTTATTGTAAGAAATACTGAGAAGTCAAAGTTGGTAGGTAATTCTATAATTTTTCTCAGTACTGTATGTTTTAATTCTCTTCTCTGTAAAATCTATTTATTTTTCTCTTGTCCTACTCTAGTCACCTTTTCTGAATTTCATCACTACATACATGCTCAAAGGTCATTTTGTTTTTTTCTTAACAAAACTACGACGAAAACTAGATTGTATGGAATAAAATGACTCATAAAAGTTCTATATTTGTAGACTCGACAACAAGGATTTAATTGATATTTGAAGCATCAGAATTTCAAACATGAAGTGCATCTACCTAGACTGAACGAGTGAAAACCGATCACTACTAAAATTAGCTGAAAAACTTTATCATAAAGTGTAACAGTTTCTTTCAATCGCAAAAAAATTTTATTTGAAAGAGTACATTAAACAAATCTGAAAGAAATAATAAGTAGGAATTACTTAAGATTCTTGAGATTAATTATTAACAATAGGCATTGTTTCTCTAATATCATTAGAGCATTATAAATTGTAATGTCGTTGTGAATTATCAAAGCTCGTCATCTCAAAATATTATTCTTATGAGACTAAATAAATAGCTATCAAAAAAGTTTTGAACCTATTCAAGAATATTTAAATCATAGTATATGTCTGCATCATTTTATTACACATTGGCAACGAGCAATTACTTCTATAAAGAGTACGAGCAGGCATGATGGTGACTTCTCAATTGCTATTCTTTTCTTTTTTTTGTATTTGTATAACAAGCGTCAAAATCAAGCCACTTTCTGATGACTCAGCTTAGAATGATACCATTAAAAGAGAATTGCTTTTATGGAAAAGATTTCTAAACAATCAATCCCTACAGTCACTCCAGTCATTGAATAAGAATATTCTAAAAAATTTATTATCATAATGATCATGATTTAAATAAGGTTGAATGATTTCAATGCTGGAAAAACAACATGAGAAACAAGTCTAATTGCTTATTGAACGTAAAAAAAACAAGATGTATTCCTGGATATTCTAATGTTTTGAAGACTATCATTTATTAACATAAATTTTCATGAGTTAAATGTCTGCTGAACAATATGCGAGAGTCAGATTGGCTACTAATTTTAGTTACACTGTTAATTTTAATACACATTTACCTCGGTTCTACTTCAGTAAAACCTATGCCAGTTAATGCAGTGGATAGTGCACATGATCTTGTGTATATACGAGAAATATCGTTAAATCTAATAAATCCTCTGATTTTATTTGTTAGCTAAATGAAACTTCCAAAACATTCGAACAATAAAGATTTCTGATTATTATCAGTTGCGGGCACAATTACTCATGTAAAAATTTTTTACGAGAAATCAAAATAAAACCGATTATTTTTTGAATGAAAATCTATTAAAATGGTGCTACTTATTTCTGATTGCAACCAGAATCTTTTCGCTTGAAAGATAGATTCACATTGACTTTAGTCTTTTCTGAACAATTAATAAAGTTCTATCGATTGAAACTGTTTTTTTTTCAAAATTGGTTGACAAAGATAAAACTCAAATGAAATCTCTCTTCAAAGTTGAAAACTATATTTATTATAGTATTCAATTATAACCACATTGATCGATCTTTTAGTTGAGAAAAAAGTCGACTAAAATCAGATTTTTTGTTTTTTTAGATGAAAGATCCTCGTTGAAAAAAAGAATTAAAATCTTGGCTGAGCAGCCCATCTCGTGTCCTGTTGTGTAACTTATTTGAGTCATTGATCAGTTTTAAGTAATATTAGTGCGTAAATTTAGTTAGTGTCAACTACACATCGATACCCTCTAGTCCGATCTTTTTTTCTTCCACTTTTTCGAACTGAAATACTACTCAGAGAGTGTGCACCAAACAGGATAATGAGACCTGTCAGTCAGCATGGAACTCGAAGATATTTATTGGAGTTTTATTCTATTTTTCTTTTCTAAGAAAAAGAGTCTTTATCTTTTTGTTCTCACTTGTTAATCTTTGCTTGAATATCCTTCAATCTCTTCTGATTTTTCCCATTGTTTCGTAATTCAGTAAACGAAAAGAATAATCGAATCTCTATTCATTCGAATCTATTCGATTCTCTTAATGTTTAGAAGTATGAATTCGGATTCGAGTCGATTCAACTTTTACTATTACAGTATGAAAGATATCACCCTTTTCCCATATATCACATACTAGTATTTGTTTAGTGTTCTTTTCTGAGTAAACTATTTATTTTTCTCTTTTCTTGTTCTAGTCATCTTTTTCTATATTTGATTTATTCATACATATGAAACGACCATCGTTTCTTTACAAAACATAAACTACACTAGAAAGTACACTCTATAGAATACAATTACTCATCAAAGTTTAGTATAAATGATCACGAAAACAGGGGTTTAACTAGCATTTCAAAGATCGAAATTTCACCGACGAGCTGAATCGATGAAAATCAGACAAGTGAAAATTCATTGATATCATAATTAGCTCATACATGTTATCTCAAACCTAATAACTTTGATACATGCGCAAAAAAAACTAATAGGCGGAAATGTCTCAAATATGTCGAGATGGCTAACAAATATCAATTATTTTTCTCATATAATCATAGAATTCAAGGTTAAAATATCTTTATTTTTCTTCTTGTGAAAATTTATCATGTTAAAACATTCTTACTGAGATAGTACAACACCAACTACCAGAGCACTCTAGAATCTATTTGAAAAATATTCAAATTATAGTAACTGTCTCTAACATAGGACTATCCTATCTGCACTACTATTGTTTTTCTTAATTTGTACCTGTGTAACTTATTTCAGTTTTCCACTTGAAGATTCGGCCATCCTTTTTCGTACTTAGTTTCTCAAGGATTCTTTGACGCGTACTGTATTCGTGCAGTCTTCCTCAATATTTTACGCTTTTCATCATCCAGCCTCCTATTCAATCGATATCAAAATGCACTTGTCATAACTGTCCTTCAAAGGAAGACTTGACCAATATCTATCACTATCATATCGAAGAGATAGAAAAACCATGTTTTCACTCAGACTAATGCAAATTAAGGCTTTTTCCTGTCGACCATGAAAAGCACAACATCAATTTCCTAGTAGCTGATTCTAAACTCACGTGTTTCTCAAAACTTAAAAATGATTACCTACTCATGAAATATCACTAACGCATCACAGAAACTTCAACGCTTGTCATAATATCCGCTATCATTTTCATAATAAGAATTTAAAACACCCTGAACAATTTTCATATAAAACAAAATATAATCGCCATTTCCAAAAAACCGAAAAGGGCTTCTCACCTTCTTTTATCATCATTCTTCTACGAAAATAGATCTCCCAACGATTAATAGGAACTACAACATTGACAACATCGTTTTTTTCTACCATCAATAACTACATCCACCACAACAGGTGATATACAAAACGATACGGAGGCAGCAGTTTACATGAGGATAAGCAATATTCTTCAGCTATCACTATTCGAATCACAATTCTGTATAATTAACCGCATCCTCCGGCCCTATGCGTAAGGCGTCTTCTACACTTCTCCGAACACCGACTTCTTTGCCTCTTTCTTTTTAATCCCTTTGACATACCTGCGACCATTCACAAATACAGTATATGGAGGATTCTATTTACTCTACACTCATAAGACACAGAGACACGATTAAAAAGACCTATTTCATTCAGAGTCAATTACGCATAATCGAATAACACTGTGACTCTCCTTCTCTCTATCATATACACATCTGCACTTTTTCACACAGACACTCACCACACTAAATCTCGAATTCAATCAAATTGGACCTCTTGGAGCACAACATCTGACTGATGCATTACAACATAACATGGTGACACTCTTTCTCTCTTCTTCTCTCTCTCTCATATACATATCTGCACTTTTTCACACAGACACTCACCACACTAAATCTCGTAGTCAATCAAATCGGACCTCTCGGAGCACAACATCTGGCTGATGCATTACAACATAACATGGTGACACTCTTTCTCTCTTATACACATCTGCACTTTTTCACACAGACACTCATCACACTAGATCTCAGAGCCAATAAAATCGGAGATATCGGAGCACAACATCTGGCTGATGCATTACAACATAACACGGTGACACTCTTTCTCTCTCTCTCATATATATATATATATCTGCACTTTTTCATACAGACACTCACCACACTAAATCTCGGAGGCAATCAAATCGGAGGTATCGGAGCACAGCATCTGGCTGATGCATTACAACTTAACACAGTGACTCTCTTTCCCTCTTCTTCTCTCTCTCTCTCATATACATATCTGCACTTTTTCACACAGACACTCAGCACACTAGATCTCTACTACAATAAAATCGGAGATCTCGGAGCACAACATCTGGCTGATGCATTACAACATAGCACGGTGACTCTCTTTCTCCCTTGTTCTCTCTCTCCCATATACACATCTGCACTTTTTCACACAGACACTCACCACACTAGATCTCGGATACAATCAAATCGGAGCTCTCGGAGCACAACATCTGGCTGATGCATTACAACATAACACAGTGGCACTCTTTCTCTCTTCTTCTGTCTCATATACATATCTGCACTTTTTCATACAGACACTTACTACATTAGATCTCCATTCCAATCGAATTGGACACATCCTTGAAACTCGTTTGAAGGAATTAATAGAGCGGAATAACGAACGAACAAAATCGTGAGCTTTGGCTTCGAAGATGGTGGGATGAAGAACACTAATTTCTGGTGGAATATATGATTTGCTTTTTTTCTTGTTATTTAGTTTGCAAACGATAATAAAACCTTTGAATTTTCCGCTTGATGGGCTTGATAATGATGATATGGCGGTAATTTTTGACAACGTGGATAATCGTTGTTTTTGAAGATTTCGAAAAATGAGTCATACGAACATCTGACGTAGATTCTGGTCGATATGAGCTCAACAGTAAAAGGATGAGGAAGTTCGAAGTTTTTTCGTTTGGTAAACAGATTGAGGTTTTTCGGTCATTAATAACGGCAGCTGTGAAATGAAGATGTTTATAGGAGACTTAGAATCGGATGAGTTTCTTTTCAACGGATCGGGTCGGCCGTTGGAAATTTTTGATGCAGCCGGTGAAAATTCGTCTGGAAATCCGGTTGGGTCAATTACAGAATTCCATTAATGAGATAGGGGTTACACCTTACATATCAATTAGCAAACTATCCTCTTTCGAGAAAGGGTTTAGTGATACAGCTTAACAAGCAGGTTGAGTGGAATTCATATAACTCGTGAAGTTTTTAAAACCAATGTTGTTTATATAATCAATGATGTCGCCTACACACCAATCACTGAGAAGCAACGGAAAACTACTTGAAAAATTGTCATGCAGTACCTTATAATAATTGATATAGAACAATGTATGTGCCTTATTTTGGCCTGATTTTGCTTCACGAAAAAAAGTGATAAATTTGGTGTTTTCTTATTTGAAATCATTATTCAACGTAGTTGAGAGTAGGAAGCCATTTTATTTTTTGTTGTCTTGAAAAATCAAAAAAACAAGTAGCACCCTTACTTGAAGAACTTTTACAATTCGTCAACTGCTATTGTCGATCGCAAAACTGAGTGAGATAAAAGATCAATTTTCAAATAACTTCATATTTTTGAGATTTATTTTATTAAGAGTCAAGTTTCTATTTAAAGTTGTATGGTACTAGCATGTGACAAAACTTTCACATTTAAAACAAGATTTGCTTTGGCACTGACGCTATTAGAATATAGTCTGAGAGTTACTGGCAGTTAAGAATTTTTGACAAGTCAGCGAAAAACAGTTCAGAGATGAACTTAGAATTTTTACATTGGACATTTTCAAGTTTACACCTTGTTTAGGTTCGAAATCTATGAGTAACTTTTCTTACCATTATCAATACATTCATTATGCTTCGATACCACTCATTGTAAAAATGAGAAATGCTAGGTCATAATTTTGAACTGAGATTTCGGTGCCGACTACACGTTTATTGGCTTGAAGCTTCGAATTTATTTCTTTTTTCTCGAACATTCAAATCAAGAAAATCAATAAAAATGAGCAAAAATATACTAACTTTGGTACTTTAGAAAGTAATAAGGAACCAGCAAAAAACCGATGAAAGGCAGACAGTGTGAAAAGTTCAACCGGGCCAAACCAGTAATCAACCTGTTCGGTACCAATTTCAACGTGGGTCTATAGGGGACTATGATCTATGCAATGGTTGAGATGACATATATATGAGATTCTGTTGTCTTCACTGACACATTCATTGTTGGAATGGTCCATGAAATTAAGTAATGTCGATGTGAGAAGACACCCTTTTAAAGTTAGTTGAATTTTACGGAGGTATTATACTGTTTGGTGCTCAAATTGATAGCAAAATAGTTTGAACGCATTATGTAATTGCATTCAGTTTTACTGAACATTAATATATATAAATTGAGTAGTTATCGTCAATGAGAATAGATTGATTTTAGAGCGAGTGGGCATGTATTGCTATGAAAGCAACATATTTTCCTGTTGTATATAGTCGAAATCGAGCTGACGAAGTCTTGGTCGAAAAAAATCACAAATATGTTCATGCAGTTGACCAGTTTCTTGTTGCTGTACTCACTATAGCCGTTTTATTTTGTAACAAAGCTGTACAAAATAATTCAAAAAACAATCTAGTCAATTCGTGACGTGAATTGATTTAAATAGAAGTGAAAGAAGTTTTCAAAATCTGCAAATTCAGTTCAAAAATCAAGCTTCTTATAATTTTTATGAAACGATGAATTCATGAGATGCAACTTCAGGAAAAATAAAGTGGTCTGCTTTTTCCTATAATACTTTGTTAGATTCTTACTGAGAAATGTCTGAATCATGCTTGTGTGCTCATATTTTTCTATTTTATTCGGATAATGTTGTCACCTTTTTTCTTTCACCGCCTACATATTGTGTACATCTAGTTTATGTTTGTATGGCATAAATGAACCCGTATATATTTCTATCTATATAGGTTACGGATACACAGTGATCATTTTCTTTACATATCGATTAGCCTAACATCATGTACTGGACTTTTAAAAATTACAGGTGCATCAATCAATTTAAAATCGATCACATCATCTGAATTCCATTCAATTCATAAGTTCGATTGCATCAAATTGAAGGATTATTTGTTAGCATTGCATAAGTTGAATGGAGATGATTTGAGGTGCCTAGCTGTGTGTTATAGATTCATGTTAGATGATGAAAATACTGCGACTGTACTATTCATCAAAACGAAAAGAAAATAGAAATCACTAATAAATTTCATAGTGATCATCTTTAGATGTTAGCCTGAAATTTGTTATCAAAAGCTACTCATACGACAAAGTGATAGTCTTCTGCTTGCCGTTTAAAATGCTCAGAAATATACACGAATATTGGATGTCAAACAGTAACTATATGCTTCACTCATATTTTACAAAAACTTGACATGCCCGTGCAGATATCCACCTAAAGGTTTCTTTCTTTCACATGTCAGAATAGCATCGATTATAGACTTTTCCAATTCATTTTAAACATCTAAGAAATATAACTAGAAAGCGACCACCAAATAATTCTTATTAAACATTCATATGAATTCACATATCCTATGAGCGAGCAGTGAAAAGTGGCACATAGAAATTACCGTCTTAGATGTTATTTCTCTCTGAAACATCAAAACAACTATTACAATCATACAAGAAAAAAAAACTCAATGTAATCAAAGTCAGCCTCCTCAGGAACTCTACCGATTTACACATTCTTCTTCCCGACCCTATAAAATATGCCAGTAATATGAAAGGTATACGACATCGATTGTAAATCTTTAACTGTTTCGCCAAAGATTTCGCATACAGAACTTGTCTCCGTGACAGATATTCGCCTGAATATTGAAGTCTCTATGACAGAGGATAGAATTTATGTTGTCACCGCTCATATAAGATTACTAATTTAAAGTGCGCCACACTCAGTCTTAAACGAGAAATATATTATTTAAAAAACATTACAGCCACATTCCGAAATCTACCCACCGTTACTAATCAACTTCAAATTCCATTCAAACATACTACTCCCTTTTTCACAACATAAATCACCCTTTAAACCGACACATCTATTTCAATTCACCTTCCCCGAAAGCCCACAATACATGTAAGCGAAATCAATCCGGTTTCTGCTAATAAAGTCGCTCATACGCAAACGGCCACTACGAAACTCACTCCTCCAAACTCCATTACAATATAAAACCAAACAGTTAAACTCTCATGCTACTTCGTAAACCAGTACTCAAACAACATATCATCTCAATAAATACACCACTGAATGATTGCGACTCAACTATTTCGTCATACATCAGTCAAACGTTATGCTCCTTTGTCTTCGATTTGATTGGCTTGGAGATATGGAGATATGGCGTGATGAGTGTCTGTGTGAAAAAGTGCGGATGGGTATATGAAAGAGATGACTCGATTTCTTTGACAGTTGCTACTCTTCATCTGTGTATGCGGGAAATGATAATGGTATTCAATGGAATAGTGGAATTACTAAGTAGCGTGTTGATTTATGAATTATATCGTCTGGAAGACAATAAAGTCGATATCTGTATTGCAATCGTAGGCCAATGAGAATTCAGCATGTCATGGTTGACTTTTAAGCAGAGTGAGATATCGTGTTGCAATATGCAATGGAATGAAGTGGAGGTTTTTTTCGGAGATTCTTTTCTCTAATCACCCTAGATGAACTTCTTTTGGTTTGCGCAAGAGATACTTGAGCACCGTGATCAAGAAAGTCATGCGCTATGGACAAATCTTGAGGTCTGTGTAGGTCTGGGTGTGGGTGTGGGTGTGGGTGTGGGTGTGGGTGTGGGTGTGGGTGTGGGCGTGTGGGTGTGGGTGTGTGGGTGTGTGGGTGTGTGGGTGTGTGAGTCTGGCTGTGTGGATGTTGGTATGGGTAG